CTTATGCCAAATTTTACCAGGTAATTGTTTAGACCTTTACAGACAGTGATCTGAATTGTGGGACACTTCTGTTATAATTCCCTGTCGTGTTTTGTTTGTGTTTTCTCTCGGGACTCTAAGGCTACATTCACCCTAGGTATAGTTAAAGGAGAACTATGAGGTAACCTTTTTTTTCCCCCATAGTTCTCTTTAGGGTTATGGAGGACATATTCTAATGTCCTCCTGTGACCCAAAACTCAGTATATAGCAGGCTATTGCCCCATATATGCTGAGCGCACTGCAACCGGGACAGAACACGACAATATTGTCAAGTTCCACCCCACTGGCTGATTAACAGCGGGCTCTGCCTATCTAGAGGCAGAACCAGCTATGCCCTCATCCATCCCTCCAGTCAGTGCTGGAGGATCGGAGAAGGGAGCGGGGAATCCCTGTGGGGTGTGGTCACCTCTCTCTGCAGGGAGATGATCGATGAGTGAGCAAACGACAGTATGTTTTCACTCACTTCACGATCAAGAGAATGGACGTGCGACAGTTTCAATGTCGCACATCAGCTCTAACTATGGTGGTGAGTGTAATTCATTCACCCTATAGTTCTTTAAATGCATTTATATGTGTTTTACAATGCTTTCCCAAACTTGTATATATATGCATCTAATGATTTCCAATGGATCTATTTACACATTGCATTTAGATGATTTAATCTGTAGTCAGTTTATCTGCATTTAGAAAAAATGTCAGGTGCATCTAGGAATCTATTTGAACTTGTAAACGCGATTTGATGCTATAATTTGGTATCAGATGCATATAAATGCATGTTAATGCACATGAACATACGCCATTTAACACATCTGGAAGCATAAACACAGCATCTAACCTGCCAGATTTTCCTCTGCGTATAGAGGCCAGAAACGCTGATGGCATGAATTAAGCTTTAGCCTTTGCTTCCATCAGGGAGGAAAACAATCTCTCTTCTCAAAGAGAAGCAGGTCTGATTCTCGCTTGGGCAGAATGTTATGTTCCAGCCCTGTTGGCCCTGCACATCCCAGACATTGAAAATTTGGAAGCTGATTTCCTCATTCGTCTGGAATCCCAGTGAATAGTTTAACTTCAAGGTGTTTGAAGGCATTTGTTGTATGTGGGGATGCCGGACATGGACCTTCTTGCTTTCAGGCTTAACAAAAAATTGAGCAGGTTTTTTGGTTTTACCATGTTTCTCAGTCTCTTGTGGCCATTAATCCCAAGTTTTTGAAGGCTAGGAAATAGTCATCTTGCAAAATGTATCATCACACCTGGAAGGCAAGACAATTCCATTATGGAACTACTTAGTGGAGCTAGCCCTATTTCTCCAGTCTGGTCAGGGCCAAAAATGAGTCTGGAGTTCCATCAAGGGTCTAATCTCGGTGTTAGCAGTTCTTTTTCTAAGACTGCATGTCTCACTTCTTAATGAGGGACGTTGTGCAGTGCATTTTGGGTTGTTGGGCCTCCAGTGCGTCCCTGTGCCTCTGAGGAGGAGGATGCTCCTTCCAGGCATACCTGCAGTTTATTTGCTGCTTAAATATGCTCCAATATGAAGACACGGAAATTTGATTTAAGACTGCACTACACAAAAAAGCCTTGACAAGGCAGTGTGGGTTTCACATATTTTGCAAAAGTTGTGCAATGAAGACCTCTTGATATTAACACGTACTGTTAGACAGGGCAATTTGTTTTTTTGCAGGCTAGCCAGCAAGTGTGCTGGGAAACGTCTGTGTTTTATATTGTTGTAAGCCTTTCCATGTTCACCTTGCTATAAAGGCTAGTTATAAATTGTGCGGTTGTCATGTATTTTTAGCTTTTTTTCTTTTGTGCAGTGTTACTCCCATTGCTCTCCTTGTAGGTTCCCCAGTAACTTTGTGGGGTTGTAACCAGTTTCTGTTAGTTCTCCAGAAACCACCCTTTGAAGCTATCTCGTTTTTTCCCCTGGCTAATCTCCCTCATAAGGTTGCCTTTGTTTGTCGGCATCGCCGTTGTGAGTTTGAGTTGATGACCCTATCCTCTAATGAGTACTTTCTCCTTACCTTGAAGCATACCGGCTCCTACAAATAACTCTTGGCTTGTGGCTACTGTGGGGAGTAAGGGATGCTACTTAAGCAGTGAAGTGCTCCAATTGCATACCTTCCCCTCCTCGCTACTTGCCCATTTACAAAATGCCTTGTATTTTTCTTAAAACATAAAAGCTCTGTGCTTGGAGGAGGAGTGGCATTCTTTCTTCCTCCAGTCATGGAACACCTTGTATACTTTTAGAAAAAGGGCATTTTGTGAATGGGCAAGTATTGAGGAGGAGCGAGGATGCAACTTGGACACTTCACCACCCGAGTCACATCCCTCCTTTCCTGCAGCTACCTGAAGCCTAGAGTTGTTGTGTTCGAGCCAACATGCTCAAATATTTATACTTTGCAGCCGCCCTCCTACGCATAACATACATCTTTTTAATCATTATTTACACACAGGACTGTTAAGATGCAATTTATTACAATTGTTTTGGGGTTTAGATGCACTTTAACATGTAACATGCAAAACCGGGCTTTACTAAAATCCTGAAACACCAATGTAAATTCCCTATATGTAGAGATTGGCAGGTTTTCCCCAGTTTAAACTTCTAATCGGATGTTGGAGATGAGGAAATAATAGAAAACGACATTGGGGGCTGCAACTAATGATTATTTTCATAATCGATTAGTTAACTGATTTATGTTTTCGATCTGATAAAAAATAAAAATAAATACCATCCTTAATTTAAAATAAAATACACAAATGCCGTGTTACAAATATGAAGTTTACTTCAGAATAAAACTGCATGCACAATTTTTTGCAATTGCACTGCATATAATGCTGCTTGTAATCATATTGTAAGTGCATCGGGCTTAATTAGCTTCAGCCAGGGAATGATGGCTGCCAGTGGCAAGATTCTGCAGATGGCAGTCCAATGTAAATACAGCAGGTAGTGGGCTGGTGCAATAGCCAGCCTGCTATTGGCCATTTAAAATTGCAATAGCAGGCTGGCTATTGCACCCGTCCACTGCTTGCTGTGCCCTCCTCCCAGCATGCAGAAGAGAGAGCTAGGGGATCCAACCAACTAATCGATAATGAGAATAGTTGGTTGCAGCCCTAAAATACATAGAACTCTGACTGCAATATATGCTGAATGTCTGACCAATATAATCTGTTCATACATTTTTACCCTATGTTAAAGGTTTCTTATAAAAATTGAATGGGCGTGTAAGTTGATCACACTTGTTATTTACACTATTTACATTGTTAAACACATTTCTACATAGTGTAAATTGTGTTTATTTTTTTTACTGCATTTTATTAGCAGTAAGTGTTACTCAGAGCCCCTTTCTGATGAGGATGTTGAGGTTATGGGGGAGATCTCAGATGTAAACTAGGAAAAAGTTTTAGATAAGACAAATATGTATACACTCTGCAAATCCATATGAAGATCTGATAACCTTTTATAGACGAGGTTGAGCTGTCTGCTGTGGCCACAGCTAGTTTTTGTTTTGTGTTCTTTATTTCTCCAGTTTAAGGCTGTATCTATGTATGTACTGTTTAAACTGCAGCTTTGTTCTGTCTTCTCAGCAATTTAACACTTCTTTCAGATGACAAAACATTTTGCATGACCGTTAGAAAATCCGTTTCAGAATACAAAATGTAAATATTATGTACTTCATAAATGTATAGAAGAAAATATGCACTTAAAGTAAAACTAAACCCTATCTGGAGGACATTTCATTTTCTAAAAGCACTGTAAATCATACGCATAAACAACTCTTTTGCACCATAATGAAATTTGTGGGCCAAAACCGTAATTTCAAAATTTGTCAGGCCAACACCAAATATTACCCTTTTTCCAACATTTAAAAAAAACATTTAAAAAAAAATGTTTTACATTTTTATTTTTGTTTTGGGGGCTTTGGGAAAATAGCAGGGGTCTAAAAAGACACCTGATATTTCCCTTTTAAAATAGAACAAGAGATTGAGGACACAAGAGTCCTGAATCTCTTTCTTGCAGCGACAGCACTCAAAGAACAGGAAGCTCTCGGTACAGAGGCTTCTTGTTCATACACAATCTGGAGATAGTAAATATTTAATATGAACCCAGTTATGAAAGGACAGGAAGCCTCTGTACTGAGCTGCTCCCTGTTAATTCATAAAGTGAGCAGATAGTAAATATTTACTATGTCCACAATCATGAATGACCAGAAAGTGATGTATAGCACTGTCCTGTTCATTCATCAGTAATCACTATGTCCTCGGTTATTTACAAATACCAAGTGATCAGTACTGATAGCTCAGTGTTTGTGCTCCGCTCTCCATCTCCGCCTCCTCACTGGAGCCAAGCTTTCCTCCCTGCACCACCCCACTCTGCATCCTGACAGCTCTCCTCTACCCACACTGTCCCACTTGATCTCCAGACAGCTTCTTCCCACCTCGCTGGGAACCAGCAGATGGATTGGCTCTGTGTCCCAACCGATCCCCGTTACCTCTGCTGACACAGGTGGGGGAGAGCAGCAGGGATTGCAGGGGACACAGACCAAAGCTTGTGTTGAGCAGGGAGGAGATAAGCTGGGGATGCACCGCATTTTCGGCTGTTTTTGTATTATTTGGCATTTTGCCCATCGTACCATTTTTGTCCGAAAAGTTTTGGTGACCATCATTTCGGTGCATCCCTATTAAAGACTGCTGATAAGAATAATAAATGTGTTGCATGTCTTTTGTGCATTTTACAAATACTATTCTTGAGAGAATATATTTTACAATGTTTGGTACATATTGTATTGTGTAAAAAAAAAAAAAGAATACGCGGATACATTTGTTTCTCTGTATGTTGGATGATGCTGCTAACGAGCAGCCATATTGATTGTCAGGAATCGTATAGTGAATTTGTGTTTCTTCGGATAATCTTTTTAATATGAGTGACTACTTTTTTAAAAATCATTTTGTTTATTTAATTTTAGCAAATGTGGAAACCTGCCGCCAGAGAGCTGCTTCTTTAGTCTCATATGCAGTCTAGGCTCATTCATGGGTAAGTAGTTTTGTTGCTTATTTATAGGTACTCTATGGCCATATAGCACATATAGTATAAACATGCAAATTCCTGAAAAAGAGAAACATTTTCCGCTTGCAATGACACCTAGTTTACAAAATGTTAACGCAGAGAGCAGAAGCTAAACTGAATTGTTGACTTCGCTTTTCACATCTACCACCATCTATGGTACAACCATGTAAAAAATTTGTGCCATTCAGATTCATCTGTGCTCATGTCATATTTCGGTACCATTGCAGAATAAAATCATCTTCCTCTCACCCACTATTATTTACGAGGTATATGTTTTGGTGTACCCATAGCATAAAGAAGGTGAAGGTGCACCCTCTGCTATACTAATGCCATTCTGTGTGTGCAATGCCAAAGAATGGTGGCACTGCTATGTGGTTGGAGTGCTGACCATTTTTAACCTAGTACTTAAAAATAAAAAAAGGAATGGGCAGGTGGCGTCACACTGGTGATTATTGCCCTGTATCGCTTCAGAACTTTACGTTAAAATCTGATGAATCAAGTGCATATAAGCATGAGATGCTTAGAAACTGAAGCAGGTGTACAAACATGTAATGCACATGTCTGCTCATTCCTAGCACACATGTACACATATAGGTTTGTGCATTTGATACATGAACTGGGGCTGTAAATCCATTGTCAACTTCTGTCACATGAAAAGACATTTTGAGGGGAATTTATCAAAACTGGAGTAGTTGTGTATGGCAACCAATCAGCTTCTCTTTCATTTTCAAATCTTAACTGAACAAACTAAAGAAAGAGGCTGATTGGTTGCCATGGGCAACTGCTCCAGATATTGTCTGCTGCAGTTTTGATAAATTCCCCCCATTGTGTATTAGCAGTGCCTTTCAATTTTCTGTAGCTGTAGCTCACGATATACTTAGCTTTGGGTCACGGTAGGATGCTAGTTTATGTCCTTCCATGACCCTTAAGAGAACTATGGGGAAAAACACTTACCCCATAGTTCTCTTTTAAAAGAGAAAAGTACAAGACATACATCTCCGCCAGTGACTTGCATCGGCTTTGCACAGATTTTTTAGGGATTGCCTTTTATTATGCTTCCGGATGGGGAAGAGTGATATACATTTCTGAGTTGATACTGTTAAGAAGTGGAGGCACATACCATAAAAATATTCTGTAGTAAACTCTGCAACTGTGTACAAATATACTTGTTTTTGATAAAAAAATATACTTTATTTATATACTGAAATATATAAAAACTAGATACATTCAGGGTACATTCTACCCTGTATTGCGACACAGCGCATAAACACTACATAGCAATATAGTACAAGCACACCAATAAATTACATCACCCCGCGGCGAGACATGTGGCACAAGAAGAGTCCTGAGCCCTCTGTCATTCATGACAACGCTTTACCCTGTACGAAGTATGTGGTCCACAGGATCCACTGCAAGAAACCTTGCGGCGGAATGTCTGACATGCAGCGCCAGAGCTAAACGCCCCAGATCCACACCTCATACATGGCACCACGACAACGCAGCAAACTTACATACAATAACCTCCAACAAAGCAACAGGTATGATGGGGGTAGGGAAGAGGGATACGGAAGGGGAAAGAGTTCACAGGCCTGAAGCTTTATTGAAAGACATGGACACAAAAGGGAGAGAAGGGGAAGGGGAAGGGGAAATCTTCTCTTGTGCCACAGTGCTGATTGTATTCTCCAATTTGTTCATGTTTTGATACTGCTATCGTGTATATATCTAACTTCTGTTGTTGCAGTTTGTGATAGTCAATTCCAAATGCTCATTAAATCATTTATAATGGATGCTTCTCCTTTGTACTCCATTAGGACAATACTCCTCTCAAGATCCCTCACCCCCTGATGCAAACATTGGGTTGGCTCTTGGGAGAAGTTAGAGAAACGTCTTCATAGGGGTCTATATGGAGTGGGTGTTCCTAGGCAGACTTAATTTGCATACAGACTGCCTTGGTAACACCCACATGTGATACTGACCTTCCATGATTGAAAGAACTGAAATCCAATGGATGAAAACTCAATCTGTACTTTATCTGTGCAGAATTTGTAGCTGAAGGCAACACTGGTAAAAACAGTCAATACCCCATCTCTAAACCCCATACAGCAATAAATCCAAATGACTTTACTTTTTTTTTGCTCAGTCTGCAGTTGCATTCAGCTATGTTTTGTTTAGCAGGTAATTTAAAACCTTAACTAAAACCTGGGTAATAATTATTTTTGCCAAAGTGTTCATTTTCACTCTTGCTGTCTTGCAGTGATGGTCATTGGATTGCTGAGATATGCCTTTGTCATTGAACGATATGGTCCCTCCCTGTTAAACACTGTAGCTTTTGTGTTGGGTTGGATTTGTGCTGCTGGACTCACCATGGTTGGTAGTTTTCAGGTAGGAATGTTTAAAACATATTTTCTCTGATAATTTAGATACAATTTTTTTTGGCTAATGGGTTGATTTTCTATATTTGTTTTCATGTTTAAAATAATGTTTTTGTATGTATGGATAGGAGTGCTATCCAGTGAAAGTATGACAATTAAAAATCTTAAACAAAAAAACAATGACATACTAGGCAGCAGTTGCCTTTCTGATTGCATATAGCTTGTGGTTTGTTTTTGGTTTTTTTAATAAGCACCGATAGCCATTTAATTGTAGTAATAACATGAAAAAGATCAGCTAAATGTGACTGTTATCATGTGTTAATGTTTCATGCTTAATCTGTATTTATACTGGCAAAGATGTGGCAGTTCGCTGAACGTCCTGTATACAGATGTATGTGCTTGGGCACGGTTGATGAGTGAGTGAGCATTATTAAAGTGGGGGCAAGTGAATGAATGCGCATTTGTGCAGTGGCCACGCGTAAATGAGTAAGTGTTGGTGTAGCGGCCACGAGGAAAAAAGGGAGCAATTGGTGCATTGTCAGCAAGCGAATGAGTGAGCATTGGTGCAGTGGCGTCGACTGAGTGTATGTGGGAACAGTAGTGGCAAGTGAGGGCATGTCTGCAGTGGTGACGAGTAAATAGGTGTGGAGATGTGGATCTGGAGCAGTGGTTAGGGGAGAGAGGATGAGGCACAAGGTTTAGGGGAATCGGTCGGAGATGGGGGACAGATGTGGCGATTAGGGGAGGGCAGTCAGGAGGTAGTTAGAGGTGGGGATAGGGATCTGGCACTGTGGGTGGGGGATGTGGGGTCAGGCAACGTGGTTGAGTGTGCGGATGAGGTATTGTACGGTGGTTAGAGTTGGACATGGTTGTGGTCAGGTGCTGGTGAGAGTGGTATCCTTGCAGGGATAGGTGCCGTTGTGATGGGTGGGGACATGTAGGTACTGTGGTCAGAGTAGGGAAAAAACTGTACACACACAGAAATCACAGCTGTGACATCCGATCTGTACCGCTCTGATGAGGAACATATCTGTGCACGGATTCTCTCCTGATCAACCCATATGAAAGGGGGCCTAATGCAGATGAATTGACCTGCATTAGACATAATAAAGTCAGCGGGGCATAGACTGCCAAAGCATGGCGTAGAAGAGGCATTTTTTTTATATTCCTGAAGTTCCTTCTTAATATAACTATGGGATAGGTATGTGAGGCAGCCATATTTGGTCGCCCTATAAGCAGGATTTACTTCCTGTTGACCCTCAATGATCTCTTCTCTTAGTCTTTTGAAAGCATTAGACCTTCTGCAGTCTCTAATGATGTCAGTCATACACAATACACCTGGTAGTCAGAGACCATGTCATCTTCTCCTAGACTGTATGTGATGTGATGAGGCTTAGAACAGTGCTTTTCATTTATGACAAGGGGGGAGGTACTTTTTTTTTTCCCCCCTCAAAAGTTATATTTGGTAGTCATGTGAAGTGTGGTTGTTAAAGACAGTCCATTTTAAAGCTCTACTGACACGGGTCATTATTTGAAGATTTTTCTTTGTGTTGTAAATTAGAATTAATCTAGTTGATAAAGGCAGTTAATTCTGTTCCCACAGAAACAAATCCTCACAACGTGACCTGCTGTGACTGCTTGAGGACAAGAATTTCAAAATCTGCATTTAGAGAATTAAAAATAACTTTTGCTGGTTTCATAGATTAACCTTGCCATCACACCACCATTGAGCTGAATAGATCTTCCTGGAATTCATTAGCAAAAGCCTACATCTTTTTGTAGTGTTTCATTAAAATTGTTTTCCAGTATAGCATATGCAAATGATTACTGAATGATCTATTAAGGATATATCTGTATCAGTAGTATAATGTAAGGGCTCATCACAGAAATTCACATCAAAACCTTTTAACTGCCGCACGTGTTCTGTGTTTAGTTGTCATTAAGAACTGCATGAACTAATGAGCTGCTCCATGTGAATATTTACCCACAGGGAAAAGGGAGGCATGTCTGTCACACTGCGTGCGTAGACTCCTTGTAAAATAATGAGCCAGGAACATACACCCACTTGTGTAAAGAGCCACGGAACTGACAAAAAACTTGGATTGAGAAATGTCATAAGATGGCCACAAGCATTTATATATATATACTTTTTCAAAAAAAATGTTTTATATTTGCATATATAGTATATAAATATGTCTGTCTGCAATTAGATCAGGGTCACATCCTATACAGTACTAAAGAGATGCTTCAGGCATGCAGGGAGCACATTACACAACAATTGTGTTCCCTTTAACCCATCAATTATCAGCAACTTTTATCTGTGCAACTGATGTAACCTGTTTAAAAATTAAGCCTTAAATACATACTGGGGGCACAGGCTATGTGTTTTAGGATCTTTTTTTGTGTGTGTGTTTTTAGCAAATAAATAAGACCACCCTACCTGTCAAAATCCCCCTTTTTATTGTTTACCTGGGAACCCCTATAGCTTACTCTTGTGGAAATGCCCCCTATCTTGTCCACTATAGGCTCCTTGCTGTCTTACAGAAGCAAATTGCACAGAATTCTCTGCACTCAGGAAGGTGGCCCACCTAGAAGCACAGGAGAAAGTTTAGCAGCAGCAAAATTGAAGGGTATTGCACTCGGATTGTTGCAGTGTTTCCTGGAGAGCTTTTTACTGGTTGCCTGGAGTTGCTCTTTAATGTACTTGCCTTTGCTAAAATGTGGATTTGTTAAATGGACCCAGCACAGTCAAGTAAACAAAGATTGGAGAGAACCAGCTGTCTCCAGTTTTGTGTTTCACTGGCAGGCTGGGTACCGTTGAGTTAGCACTTTTGTAACTGCTGCAGATGGAAAATGAAGATCTGGAAAGCCACACACTTTGGATGTTTAAAAACAGGGTGTTTTTTATCATTTTTATATATAAATGCAACATTGTCTGTTTTACCAGCCATATGTCTTTATTCTGAAAATATAATTATTTTAACTCAAGGAATTGTTTAGAATATTGATAATTTTTAAAGAAGAATGCCATAAAAAAAAAAAAGAACCCAAAGGATAATAAATAAGGTATTTTCCATTCTAGAGCTGGTGTTTGTGTGGGTTTCTAAGTTTATTGGCCAGTGCCAGCACATCAGTTATGTGCTGGATCTAGATTTTTTAGCTGTTGTACAGGGTTTCGTGGGTGCATATCTAGCTCTAACAAAAGACATAACTGTGTACCTGATTATGTATTTAAAAAAAAAGCATTTGCAGGGGTGTGGACATTTAAAAAAAAAAAAACTACTTGTTCAAGAACGAAAGCAGGGGCCCGAGCTACTTGTCCCTCCTGACAATCTAATTGTTCCTATGCAAATTTTTTTTAAAATCCAAAACCATATTTAGCAGTGCTAAGATGCGCTTCTCATTGGTCAGCGCATCAGGTGACTGGGCTGACCAACGAGTGCTTGCAATTTGCAAGCACTGCAAAATTCAGAATACATGACACAAGTACAGATGGTACACCCGTACTGGTGGACAGGAAGGACTGTTTGCCGAAATGCAAGTATAGCAGGGAGGGAGAGGGGGCCAGATTTGTGCGGGTCATTCCATTTTCCCTATTTGCTTGCGAAAGTGAATTTACCCTTTAGGACTGGTGCAAACTTGGGCAACCCTGAGGCGCACGTCCCGGGACCGTGTGATCGTGTGCGGTTGCATACAGTGGTTGCATCCGCATGTATGGGGTTACATCTGCGTGGCGATCACTGAAAAAAAGTACATGTACCTTTTTTCGCACCATGCGGTGTTTTCAACCACAATTGTGCATGACCACCTGGGCGGTATTGCGGCGGGAAAACGTGCGATCTGCATGGCATGACTGAGGTACAGTTACAAAATAATTGCACTGCCAGCTCGATCGGCGGTGGTGTGCGATTCCGTGACCCCCCCAGCCATTCACACGGTTTTGTGCGCGATGGCCAGGCGGTCATGGATCGCACACCACCACCAATTGCGCTGGCAGTGCCATTATTTTCTAATGGCACCCCAAGCGCACCAGGCAGATTGCACGGTTTCCCACCACAATACCACCCCGTCTGTGCGGTCGCGCATGATCGTGTTTGAAAACGCTGTGTGTTTATTCGCATGCTTTTTTTTTTTAACTTTATAAAATTGTTACATTTTAATTTATTATTTTTTTACTTTATCACCTTTTTTATTTTTTATGTTTTTTATTTACATACATTTTAATTATTACTATTTTTTATTTTATCATTTTTACTTTTAACTTTTTATTAAGTTAACTTTATTTCTATCACACAGGAGCTAACATCCCCTGTGTGATAGCATTTGGAGTTGACGAGTTCACTTTATTGAACCTGTCACCTCCAATACAAGAGTTCTATCACAGTACTGTGCTGGAACTCCTGTGACAGGAACTCTGACAGGAACTCTGCGAGTGCAGCGTTCCTGTATCAGTGCTTACACGGAGTGGAGAACTGACATTCTCTGCTCTGCTCCTCGCTTTCCAACCTGATATAATTTGCCGTGGTCGCGGGTCACCTAGAAGAGCAAGGGACCCCGAAGACCACAGCAGGCACAGGGAGAGAGGCAGCGCAGCGTGGTGACAGATGGTGGGCGGGGAGACAGGTAGAAAATCAGTCCTGCTACTTCCCCGCAGCAGGGCTAAAGTTCTGAATAAAACACCTGCCCAGAACTACATGCGTCAGGCGATACAAATTCCACATCCCTGGTTTGTAAGGATGCAGTTTATTACCCACCCATGAACCATTAAAGTGACACTAAACTCAGTAATGAGCCTTTAAAAATATATTCAAGTACTTCAACTATTAACAAAAATGTATCTTATTTGTGCTGACACTGTCCTTCCTTCTGGAGGGTGGTTACTTTTGTTCCCAGTGATCCCTGTGTGTGTTGTAAAGTAACCACCGCTCCAAGTTCACTCCTGTGATGGACTACAATCTCAATACAAATTGGTGACCTAAACGTAGGATTGTAGCCCATCAATGGAGGAAA